GTCAGGTATGGCATCCATTTACTTGTGTGTTTTTATTGACTTTCCAGCCTTTGACTTGTCTACTTATAAAACATGATTCATATTTAACATGAATACATTTCTGATAATATCTATCATCACGTGAAAAATGTTCTGAAAATTTAATTTTTTAGATGTTAAATTCGGGTATATTAGAGTTATCCCAAGTGGAAGATATAAAGTATGTACAGAATGCTTTGAAACCAAGTGCTACCGATGCAGAAGCTACTGTTATGTTTACAAGGTAAGGTACTGGACAATAATGAACATTTTGGTTCATTTGGTCTAAAATTAACAAAGAAACAGGGACTTGTGTATTTTGTGCGTGTGCGTGTGTGTATGTGTGCATTCGTGCATCATCGTATCTCAAACCTGCTTTGACTGATTTTGTTCAAAGTTGATACAAGGACAAGTCATGCACATTAATTTGGTTGAGCTTTGTCTGTTTGGCAGCCATTTTTGTCCTCAAAAATACCCACCATTTATCATCATCTGTTTCTCTGGCATGCCTTGACCCATTTTAATTCAAACTTAGTATTGACATCACTCGTGATCTATGTATGTTTGTTTTGTGATTTGAGTCCTCCAACTGGTTGACTGGCGGCCATGTTGGTTTAATTTTCATGTGTCCTTCATCAACCATTTATATTCGTTAACAGAAACAGACAACACACATGATGTTTTGTTTCGTTATTTAATTTAAAATGTCCAACTGGCTCATGTGTTATAAGAGAATGGTCTTATTCTTAGAAGGTGTCACTTTGACTGAACAAAACCTGAAATATATAATTGACCCAGTCACTAAAAATTGTCATTGACATGGATTTGTTACACATGTTTTGACTTTCTGACAATAAACTCAATCGTTTCTGTTCACTGAATCAAGTCACTCTAACCATGCATTCGTCTTTCCACAAATGAACATTAGAATATCGTTGCAAGGCTGACAATGTGCAGAATGATGTTCGAATGGCATGCATGAGGAATTTTGTGAAAGATTTACTGTGTTCTGCGATGAAATTTTTCAGAACAAGATTAAGACCTGTGAAATGAGATCTTCATTGTATGTACATGGATATCAATGTTGATTTCTCTTATCTTATGAATCTTGATAATGTAGAATATAAACATACACAACTTGTGACTTTTGTGTAATATTTTTTGATTTCATTGTCTCACAGATTGATTGAGAGCAGTCTGGGTGCCAAATCTACTCAGATCAACTTCTTCATTCATAACCTAGCACAGTTGAAGTTTCACAGTGCTTCCAATGATACAGGTGTGTTATCGTTTTCATCAAAAATCCATACACTTGCTAACGATGGTAGGATCTCGTCGGCCACAGTTTTTGGATTTCAGAAAAGATATAATCCAGAGAAATATTATGTAAGTGTCTCAGATTTAATTTGAATTATTAATGCGAATACCAGATTTTAAGACTTGTTATCTTAAACATGACACCTTGATCTATTTTGACTTTGCTTGTGAATGCTCAAATTCACTTGTTACATCGTCTTTTTAACCAGATTAATCCCTCATGTTAACATTCTTGAGAAAGTGGTTGTTATTCAATTGGATACATACCTGTCAGATACTTGAACCACTTCAGTCAGTCTGCTTCTTTCGAAAGCCTACAACGATATGTGTATGGCACCTAATTCTAGGCAATCAGAACTTCTTGTGCTCTTTCTTCGCTACAATTGACTACAATCTACTTCTCTCCAGATTATCTGATCTTCAATTCACAGATGTTTCAATGATGTGGTTTTCATCTTATCTCAAAGATTGTTACCAGACCGTGACAATAATTTGAATTCTTTAATCCTTTGTACTACATAAATTTATGATGTACGCCATGCTCTCCTGTGTGTACATTTCTCTATTTACAACATAACTATGTATAACACATATAACAACCAGCAATACTTATCATTCACCTTGCCAGACAAGTCATCTTATCATTGCTTGAAGCCACGAAATCTACGATTCTTAACAACATGTATATTTCTTTTATGCAGATATACATCATCAAAGTATCTCGAGAGAAAGAAACTGAACCCGCGTTTGTTTTCCGCAAATTCAGTGAATTTCACGAACTGAACGACAAAATAACGGCTACCTATCCGAAAATACGTCTGCCAATACTCTCGAGTAAACATATCCTTGGACGCACACATATCCAACAAGTTGCTGAGAAAAGAAAAGGAGAAATACAAGCTTGGCTTAATTCGCTTTTTGCCATGGCGCCAGAAGTTTCCGAGGTCAGTTATTAAGTTATCCAATGCTATCCAGTCCAAAACATGAATATCATTAGTCATCACGTAATAGGTGCAAGAGTCTAGTAAATCTCTATGAATGATCAGAGTGATTCAGTAATATCAGATAACAGTAAAATCATTATATCACTTGAATAGACAGAAGGTCTTAGACTTTTATTTTTCATTACAGTGATGTCTGATTACCAAATGTCTTAACCCTTTTAACACTAAAATTAACTTTCGTCACATATCACAAAAGAAAACCATATTTTTCAAATTTGTTTTCAAAAAATTTCATCAATACCTGTAGGTAATTGGAAATTATCCATTTTGTTCAAAATTAACAAAGAAATTTTAGAAAAACACATACAAATGTGCAAAATAATGCATCCAAATTTTGGAGGGACAAATCATTGGTGTAATACTCTAGTAATAAATGTTCTTGCCTTCAACTTCATTCAACTGCTGACTGATGAAAACTTTTTTCTATTGAATCCAGTGTGATTTGGTTTATACATTTTTCCATCCATTGTTACGAGATGAAAGAGATGTGGATTTAATCAGTATGGTGAAACCCAAAGGTAATTATTATTCAGTTGTGACTTTTTCTTCTTTCAACCCTCTGCTGATGTGTCTTGAATTCTTGATATTGTACTGCAACACGCTTAAATTTGCAGCAGACTAATGACATTTTGTAACTGTGAAGATTTCATGTGGCCATTGAGGCATTGATGACTTTAGCTAGTCATCTACGGAGGC